ATACACTTAAATTTAAAATTAAAGTAATATTTACGTGAGCTACAAATTTTTTTTCAAACTCATCACGTTGACAATACTATTTTGAAATACTCTCTAGTTGTACATATCATATTATATAGAATGGAACAAATCCATTATCTTGGAAGATGCGTGGAAACATAGCGACAGGAATAGCAAGAGGCTTACAATTTTTGCACAATGTTGAACCGTCTTTGATCCATGGCGATATAAAAAGGTAGGTATAATTTACAGTAAACGCAATTCTATTGTATACTTATGCATCACATAACTTTAACTGTTAAACTTTAACATATTGATTAATCAATGTCCGTTTTTATAGTGCCAATATACTTTTGGACTCTAACCTTACGCCCAGAATAGGAGATTTTGGACTCGCTCGAACCGGACCGCTGCAGGAACAAATTAACAAAAGCGTTGAATTTGATGTCAGCCACGTGTGTGGTACAAAGCCTTATTTACCTGRAGACTTTTTCAGGAACAAAAAACTATCGACCAARGTGGACACTTACAGTTTCGGTGTGGTATGTGCTCAATTCAGCGTGGTTGCAGTTAAACTCAAATGATAAATAATATTGTTCTAAGAATTTATATTTATTTATTGACACTCATTATTTAAAAAACTATTAACATCTTTGAAAATTTTTTTTTACATAATTTTAAGTTACTACATTTTTTTAAAGGCAAACATTTTAGATTCTGAGCTGATCGATGAATGTATTGATTTTATAATGTTGTGTGTTTTGTTTTTGTTGTCTATGTACTATGTACATAATAAGTTGTCAAAATAATGCTTTGATTTTCAACTTCAGTAGCTTTTCCGGTTAGAAAGTGAATCTAGTTGGTGCATTGAGGAGGTCAAATTTTGAATTTTCCACTAATTTTCAAAAGCATCGGAAAAACAAAAAAAAATTAAGGAAAAACGGGAATTTTTAAGCAAAATCAATTTTAAAGAAAACAAATTTTAATATTGGTGTAACTCAAAAACAAAATCATCCTAAACGGCTAGACACATGACATTTTCACTAAATGTTTATACTAGTATTTTCTATACTTGATAAAATTTTCAAAATATTTCAAATAATTTTAAATTATTGATAGACATTTGAAATATTCAATCTTTTTAGTTTTTTTTTTTTTTATAAATTACATTAAAATTTTATTCTTTTTGTAAAAATCTTCAAAAGTTCAAAATGTAATTCAAGGCTCCTAATATATTGTTACAATGAAAGAAAAAATAGATTTTCACAATTTTTTAGTTTGAATTTTAACAAAATATGTAAAAATTACAAAAATTGGCAAATTATTTTGGGTTAGAAATTCATAAAAATTTATCTTTTTAAATTTTATCYAAGGTTTTAAAATTCAATACAAGATTCTTCGTGAGTTTTTCTACTTTTATCAATTAAAAAATGCCTATCAGAAATCGAATTTAATTTTTATGAGCATTTTTGTTATATGACATTGGATATTCACTCAATTTCTCTTGTGCCGATATTCTTAGATCATCTTATATAATTATTTCTCAMRRGTTTATATTACATTGAATGTACGAGTATAAATGTACAATCAGCTATATGTAGTACTAGTACAATGAACAATCAACACGAAACGGGATTTATATAATCTCATGTATGTTATCTTTTAAACGTCTGTAAAGTATTGCAATATGTATTTTTGTTCACAGGTGATGTTCGAAATCGCGACTGGTCTAAGAGCATTCAATAGATACAAAAATTACAAATATTTGGTAAGATTATGTCGTGATGAATAATTAAGCATCTATTAGTTATTTCATAACCGCAAACC